CGGTTGAAATGCCCTTCCCCCCCCCCCCCCCCCTAAAGAATTCCCTGAGGACGGCCCTGCACACACTTGTCTTGTTTTAATTCATATCTTGAATTTTAAGATGACCTTATTTTTCGGAATTTGTTTCTTTTTGTATTTTCTTAAATTGTCGGCTGGCCGTGGTTTTTTGTGAGAGAATAGAAAGTACTTGAGCTTGATTAGCCTGCGTGTCAGGCTCTATGTTTGAAATAGACACACAGTTGCGCAGTAATATTAAACAAGACAAATTGCGCGGGACTAATTCAAAGAACACTTTGTTTCACTCAACTTTTATTCATAATAAATTTCCACAATATTGCATAAAGTGTGATTTTGGTTTCTCACGTTAAAAATTAAAACTCAAGTTCCCATTCAAGAAAAGTTTCCAAAAGTTAGCGCACGTCCTGGTAAGGAGGTTATTAGCGAACCATCATCCAAATAGGCGTGTCCATAGCGCAGTATCCCGCGATGCATTTCTGGCCGGCACAATCAGTTTCATCAGCGTAGAGATAAAAATTCGAGCCATCTTTGCCATTCCAGAGATTTAACCATTTGTCCGTTTCACCGAAGCCCTCTGACACCAGGCCATTCGATGACTTAAACAACAGATTGTCGATGGAGTAGTAGAATATCGCTGGTGTACGTCTACCCATGTTCACAGACGGACTAAATTTATAAAACCCATCGACTTTCTGCCCAGAGCTGTCCACTGATTTTCCCATTAAGAAATTATCAAAGTTAAGCTTCCCTTGCCCCGGGCTCCCGCCAGCACGGTTGTAAATAACCCGGATACTGTTGTCGTCACTAAATCTGAACATGACTTCGCGCCAATCCGTCATATCGGGATGAATGCGGCTTGCTGCGTTGCTGTGCAATGTCGACGCTGCTTTCTCGTAAAACCGATCTGAAATGAGACGAGCACCGAGAGATTTCTTGGTGGCGACTAGTGTCCAACCGCCTTTATCAGTCTCCATGTCACAGAACGCTTGAAATGAGTCATCAGCTGAACCGCCATTAGGGTCTATCCAGTACAAATCACTGCCATGACTGTTGCCTAGTTTAACACAGAAAACATGAAACGTGATAGCATTTTATACTGCACAACTGAAAAACTAGCAAGAAATTTGTTATAATTTTGGTTAGTTGTGGAAAAACCACGCATTTTATTGCAATATCAAATACATGTGCAGTGTTTTCCACTAGAAACCAAAACTAATATAGTATTTCGCCATGAAACCAACATTAAACGCCTCAGTATTGAAGAGTCAAGCGCAATGGTCAATGCGAGATTTTATCAGATAACTAAAAACCTATAGTTCACAGAGGCGAAAGACACATCACGGCACTAGCCAGTGTGTCAATTGCACAATCTATATCCATGTTCATCTCACCTGAGTCCAATATATCCCTACACGACTTGCCAGGTCTATGTTTCAACTTTCCCTTGGTCTCAAGTGATACTGACAACCATTGTTCACCATTACACAGTTGTACCACACGATACGTTCGGTTGTATCTGATAGTACCCGCTGTATACAAATCACATATAGCATATGACTCTCCAAGACGTAATGTACTGCCTGGTCCTATGCCTGCAGGACCTTGCTTGCCTGGGTAACCCATCTCGCCCTAGAAATGTCAAAAATATTTGAATTGGGTCCGCGTATGGCCATGAAAGCCCACTTTTTCAGTAAAAATGATTTAGAAACTAAAACTATACATGGGCCATATGCAGCGGGAGGAGGGAGCAGCAGGGGTAACTGTCTCTCATTTAACTTACTAATTTTATAATGTTATTTTAAATTTTAGCGCAAAATTAGGCCAATCCAGACAGTACCTGCCCAACACTATAAGTAATCCGTGCATGTTTCTGACCATGTTCATATAAGGTATGTATACGCGGGCCGGGGTAACCCGCAAGCTTTTCTCTAAGTCAAAATAACTCACATAAAGAACCGTAGTTTACCGGGGGAAAGTGGTAATAAATTAACGCTTACAGTATAAATGGAGTCAGCTTAATTAAAGAGGGAAATTTATTCCAAACACCGGACTTGACTATTGCCCCAATGAAAACCAGATTATAAACGGTTTCTCGTCAGTGTTGCTTTGCCAACTAGATATTGGCAAAGTAACACGAAGACCCTGGGACCGAGGTTGAGTAACACGTGACCAGAAACCGCAATATGGGAGAGTGATGCCGTGACTTACTTGTGGTCCAGGAGGGCCTGGTGGTCCTTCAGGTCCCTGGTAATAAAAAATGAAACAGGTTATTTTAACGAACTATAACTGAGTGACTGCGACATTCTCTGATATAGTGATATCATCAGATCTATTTCGTACTTCTGATCTGACCTACTAAATTCTGCTCGATAAAACGTGCCAGTATGAATTCACATGTGAAATTGACTTACCATGGCACCTTCTTGTCCATTTAATCCATTTCTTCCATTTTCACCATTCTTACAATTGCAGAACTGACTGCCGTACTTTGTAAACTAAAATAAAAAAATGAAATGTATGACATGTATCGCCCAACTGTTGCCTTCCTAGGAGTGCTTGAACATGCTCCGTCATTTTCCACAAATTGTTAAATGAAAAATTATAGATGAGGGCTTTTAGCCTTCAGTGAAGTTCAATCCAAAAACAGTGTGTTTCTGGGGACGGTTTAAAGCTCTCCACTGGATTGTGATTTTTCAACCGTCGTAAAAATGCTTGAAAACTTAGGAAACTACGAATATGGATCTGACACTGAATTGATACAAAGAATCTTTCATTTATAAAGAATAAAGTTTAATCAGGGTTATACCGGGTGTCCCAAAAAAGAACTGGATAATGTTTGATTTCATGTAATGTAAAAATTATAAAAGCTATCGCAATTAAAGATCATTCCATTCAGAAAGGACTAATTTAACTTGGCTAGATTTTGATACACAACACTTGAATTGACATGCAATATTGAGCGAGATACTGAATCAAAATAAAAATATTTATTATTTAACAAGTATATGATAACTACATCGGTAATTATAATGCCTATATATAACTATGCATCAAAATCTAAATTATTCCTTTCTGAATGCAATGATCTTTATTTCATTGCGATATCTTTTATAGCTTTTACGTTAAATGAAATCAAACAGTCTCCAGTTTTTGGGGGGACATCAGCGGTAGTTTAATCAGGGAGATCGAATCCTTTATTTGATCTAAACGAAACTAGATTTGCTCTATCGTTATGAAATGAAGATATTAAACACTATCCAGCAAAAGGCAGTGGGGGTAACTGCCTCGATGATGCCCCCTAATTTCTTCAAACACGATTAGTTGAAAGATCAGTTTTACCACCGCTGGCATATCATGTCTATATGATCATCTTGTTTATCTCAATGGAAATGACTTGACTCAGCCTATTCAAACGTGTTTAAACATGTCATTATGAAACTGATATTGAGTCAATTACCTCACAGCGTGATGATGAGAAAAAAAATATTTTCCTTCGTAAGGCTTTGCTTGAATGCTTGTGAAGGAAATGCAACACAAATGTACAGTATACCAAAAACTATTTTAGGAAATAATCAACTTTTCCGAAAAAGACGTACTGCTTCGAAATCCCCGGTGAGAACCTCGTGCATATCACGGGATAATACTACTGATGCATTGATTTTAATTCATTACTGTCTAATGTTTATACTGGAAGATTTTTAAAATTAACTGGATACATTAAGATAAATTAACTGGAACTAAAACTTCAACACTATATATTTGCGCAATTTTTGCGGAAGATGTCCATTGAAGAAATTTAAATTTTCGTTTAAAGTTTGAAAGAAGATTTATTAAAAGAAGGAGATTGGGCAACACGCATGCAAATAGGAAAGCGAATTTTCTCTTTTATTTTCGCCCAGTTCAATAAGTGCTGGGACCTCAAACTGAAAAAGTGATATTCATAATATCAAGACTGCGGATATGCCAATCTTTTATATGAAATTGTACTCTTTCATCTCTAATGTCAAGTGGCAAAGCAAGGGGGGTAATTATATAATGACAACAAAATCAGAAACGAGATAATTTCTTGAAGGAGTTGGCCAAAAAAAGTTTAAGTCATTGTATCTGGACTGCCTTCATTTAGTAGTTACAGATTAACGTCATTTCAAGCCAAAGATTTTGCCAGACTGATTTAGATGATTAATTAGATGATCCGTGCGGGTTTAGCACTGAGACGGAAGTTTTGATTTCAGCCATTGGTTAAAATAACCTGGCCAACTTTATCTTTTATGTAAACAAACTACTGATTATAGGTACCATAAAAACAATCAAAAGAAAGACAGTCATTTTCAATCAGACTGAACGTTCTAAGGTTTTGCTGGTTTTTAATGATGACTTTCGTTGAGTATAAAATAGTAAGGGACTTTTAAAGCAAATTTTGTAAAGAAGATTAAATGGCACTGGAATATAAAAATACTTGGCCGGTAGACTAATAAGTTCATTAACATAAAAACCGCATATAAGATACTGTGAGTAAATTCGTATAAAGAAGTTGTGCATAAATACTTAAAAATCTCATTAATAATTCATGAGAAGAGACAAAGGATATCACTACCGTATCGTGGGTGTTATATGTGATAAAATATCATGTTAATTTACATAAACTTTAGTTTTGATTTTCTCGACTTATAGACAATGTTTATTTTTAAAATAACTTCGCCAATGAACTCATAAGAACTTGTTTCACATCTCATAAAGTACTCTTACGCGTGCATTAAATAGTACTTGCACCGTAACTAGGGTCAATATTGATTCACAAAAGCTATATTCAATTTGATGAACGCGCGAAATAACTTATTAGCATAAATTCCGCACTTACCGATTGAAATAATGCGTCACATTTACTCTCTCCTAGTTGCTTCAAGTCCGCTTTGGTTGTAGATGGCGTTTTGGTTGTAGATGGACCTTGGCCCAGCGAATGAGAAACGAGCAAAAACAGAGTGATGTAGGCGATCATTTCCAGTTGGCCTTCGCTTTTCAGATTTTAACACAAAATTTTGCGTCACGTAAACTCGTTCAAATTTGATTCTGATTGTCAAACAGATCACTGCGGTTATTTAAAACATACTGATGACGTAGCCAATGTATTGGGTAACAATTATTAACAAGGGCCAATAATCTGTGAGGTTTGAAACAAAATAAACCACAAAGGAGGAAGTACGTTCACCAGGCAAGCACGTCATGCATAATTCGCATTATTAACATATCTTTGTCTTCGCCTATAGCCTCCCCGCAGGCATTTTCATGTAAATTATTGTCTCAAGTGAAAACGTAACTTTTGCTACTTGCTTATTACTTACCCACAACGACGAAAGTCACAAAATTATTCCTTGCTTTCTTGCTATTAATTCAGTATTCATTGCTTGAGTTAGTGCGGGAAGTGCCCAAACATCTAAGTAAATTCATGCAAGAATTTGTGTCAACTGAACTGAAACATTGAAATGAAAGTAATTAAATGTGAAAATTGTATGCGAAGTATACACTCAATTATGATCGTCTTTATATTTTTTTAGATCGTCGATTGAGTCGATATTCAATAGACTTGACAAATTATTCAAACTGATTTATTCGCCAAGATTCTGTTAACTTCATGACCGCATTAACATTGTCAGGTATTAAAGCATTGCATAATACGCACAATATAATTATATAAATGCTATTTTAAGTTCAGATTTTGGGACTTCAACTCGATCAATAAATCTTCCATCGAAGTCGTGCAGCTTAGTTCATACTGATTTTCTGAAAATAATCTGATATCTGAGTTCTTTTCTAGTCAACTCGTCGAGGGATTGTTTGAAACAAGGAGGAACATGAAAGTGAGATTAACGATCGGAATAAAGACACTATGGAAAGGAATGACAAGCTAGTTCAGACTCGACTATGGGTCAAGACAAAGAAAAGCAAGGGAGATAAGGAATTGAGTCAGTACGGGAAGAGAATAGAGGGGAAACTGAACTACTGAATAATTTTGAAAAGATGACATTGTGGCGACCTGTTGTGAACAGAAGGCATTCCGGCAAAGTTTTTTTAGTGATTTTGGTGGCTATAGCCACTATCACACTAAATAGCGTTGTGTGAGCGGTATGATCAGTTATGTGCGGAAGCTTCGTGAATTAATGGCAGGTCGAACCTTCGGCCAGCTATTCATTCATACGACCATCCCAGATATGACACTCGGTGATTTTCGTCCGACATTCTTTAGAAAATGTGAGCACGAAGCATGTAGGGTTAATATGCTTGATTTGTAAATCGCAGAACTAGTTTGGTCAAAGCGCAAGGAATTATACTGGGGGGTTATTGACCGTTGTTCATCAGCTCTAAAATACAGCTAAGACTCAAATTTTCCATGTATACAAAACTGAATTCTTCAACAAATCAGGAGTCGCTTTGTCCAGTTACTGTTGATTCAGCCTGTTATTACTTCTTGCTGCCTACCAGGCTAGCCACATGTACGCAATCCGTACCTATTTTTGTAATTTATTAGCCTATGCCCGAAACGTTGCAAAAATAATAAAATATTAAACCTTCCGTATAATTTAATGAATTTTCAAAATTCTATTAAATATGGCTTAATGTAACTTATACATGCACAAATGCCTCCCCCTGCCGTTTCCTGCCAATTTCCCCTGCCAATCCATGGCAAGGCTAAATCTAATTATCAAAGTTCTATGAGACTACTTCTATAGGTCGGTTTCAGTAAGGTTATTAATCAAAGTAAATGATTCTAAATGCTCCATTGCACATACTCGTTACCAATCCCCAAGTTCAATACATATAGTGAATAATTTAGTTATTCTGTTAATAGTCGAGATGATCATCATGTACTGTGCTGGACTGTCCACCTAGTGAAACTCAACTAAGTGTAGACAAGAATATTTTTAACCAATATTAATTATTTACACAGAATGTTCACCCATATTTTCCGAGGTATTTTCTCCGACAATTCCATCGAGACTATCCAAAGAATTATTTTCTGTCATATCATTCAAAATAGCATCAGTCAAGATCTTGGAAACAGACACATCCGGGCGTCTTGCATACGGCACCAACTTACATCTATTCCGAACTTCAGGCACACAAGGATTCCTCAGGATCGCTTCGAGTGTGCGCACAAACAACTTGGCTTGTTCGTCCCGGTCTTCTACGCTGAGACTCGCCTCGGCTGAATGGCTCATGTCGTACATTGAGCACAGCGGTGTTGCGTACTCAGCCAAGACGCGAAGAGGCTCACAACCATCAATTTTTATTTCGTAAACATTATTTCGATATGATCTTTTAGAAATTCCTGCTCTTGCAACATCAAATTCAATCACTCCACCTTCAGCAAGATCAATCTTCCCATCTTCTGCTTCTTCTGACAACTTTCCATAGGCCCAACAGTCTCGAGGCATTAAGATAAACAATTTCTTGGAAGACAACTTGTCTTTCCACTCTGACTCTACAATTCGTTCACGTAATCTTGGCAAAATTAACCTCAAGTAACCGAAGTAATAAGACCATGCTAAGCCGTTCGCGACAAGTCTGTTGTTATTTTCCATCAAAGAGGATATTTGCACGCGAGATAAAGTATCCAAACTGAGAAGATACAGTACAAGAGTACTGCTTCCAACACCGCTTAGGATGATCTCAATATACTCAAATTTAAAATATTTCGTTCCTTGAGAGAGTAGAGTGGAGCCAATGATAACGAATGCGACCAATGTCGCAAAGAACACAGCTCTGAATGAAATATCACTGAAACATGCATACAACATTTTCCTCTTGCTACCACCATACCGAGTATACAAATGAAAATATTCTTCAAACATCAGACACGACCGGTTCACAAATTCTCCCAAGATAATTCCAGTAAGATTTAAAGACCAGATAAAAATACCAACGTGATAATACTGGTCATCCTTTCTGCAAAACATCTCATCTTCATGCAGCATGCTTGTGTTGCCTTCGACGACGTAGAGTACGTCTTTTGGCTTCGTGAACGCTCCGAGGAGGACAACCATGATGATAAGAGACAACCCAACAGACACAAAGGCAGCTCGTTTCTGGCGTTTCTCTGGTATCGGGCCAAACCCGTGGTTTGTGTCCAGGTCTATGGCCGTAGAAGGTGCATCATCTTCGTCGAATATAATTGCGGACTCCTCCATCTCAGTTCCCGCCTGGAACGGGTCTTCTGTGTACGAACCGTACATCGTAAAAATGTAGAAGATAATCGTGCGCATGCAGCACCTTTTAAACAGTGCAAACTGAAATTGTACCTTTTGGGCACTTCACGTAAATGAAAGTTCCGTTTCCTCAATTTCATTTTGGAATGAAACGGAAAGGAATTACAAATAAATCCTGAAAATGAAATTGGTTGGAACATTAATTGGGACTTTCTTGACATAAAAAAATATTATAGTGAGAGGTTGAATTTTGATTTGGTTTAAGTATGAGAGCGAAGTCGTGAAATGCGATTAAATCTTTAAGCTATATATAAGGTTATTTAAAAAGGGATAGTGGGGATTTCGGTTAAAATGCTTGAGGGACTCCAGGATCAAACTGCCTAGAAAATATAATGAGAACTTTGATGTTTCAAGCGAGGAACTTTCGACAGGAAGTTCGTTAGTGAAAGTCCTTCAGTTCAATCGAAACGTCGAAGTCCTTGTCAGTATTTTTGAGGTCGTTCGATCCAGGGTTCGCACACGTACATACATTCATACAGACATTATCAGTCAGCTCACAGCTGACTGATAACACCAAGCATCACGCTTACGTATTAACCTATATGGGGAAAAAGCGCCTAGCCTGTCACAATGTTGTTGAAAACAGGCCTGAACAATATTTTGTTAACAATATTGTTCAGCATTATTCACCTGAACAATGTTGAACGATATTGTTAACAACCAGGAACAATATGGACAGCAAAATGTTGTTCACGCCTGTTTTGAATTGAATTGAATTTATTAATTGACATTCCCTAAACTGGGCTTTTCAATGACAATTTACATGGATTTTAGAAAAAACTATGAGTTATCGACTATATATATTTACAACAATCTTCTCAAAGTTATTACACGAACTAAAATTATACTATATATTATAGTTTATGTGTTAGAAAAGTTAAAAAGAAGGACATCACTTCTCAATAAGAATTGTCTTAAGTTTCGTCTTAAAATTGTTCAAATCACTAATTGATTTCAGCTCTGTATCTAGACCATTCCATATCTTAGTCCCTCGGTATTTGAACGATCTTTGCCCGATCGATGTCCTATATTTTGGAATATCCAGGTCTCCATTTCTTCTAGTATCTCGGTTATGAATTCTGTTTCGTGGTTCAAAATTATCACATAAATACTGTGGAGCTTTGTCACTCATACTTTAAATATTAATAACGCATCTCTGTACAATAGATGTTCTTTGATTGACAACCATCCTAACGCGTTTAATGTTGGTGATATAGAGTTGATCATATTTATGCACAATTAATCGGGCTGCACAATTTTGGATTAATTGGATCTTTTTTATGTTGCCATCTGTTTTCAACAACATTGTTACAGGCTAGGCGTTTTTTGTTGTGCATGTACACGGCTAAAAACGATCAGGTTGTTGCAATACGGATGAAAACACAGTTGAACAATGTTTTGCCGCCCACATTGTTCACAGCTGTCAACAATATTGAACAAAATTGTTACACCCGATTCAGCGAAACATTGTTCAATTCTGTTAACCACAGCGGGCTCAGCGTTTTTACGCGTGTAAACTAATTATCTTTACAACAATTGTGATATTACCTTCTTAACTGTGTTTATCCTAACCCACCCTGACAACTTTCCCTGTGGGAGGAAACCGGAGCGCCCGGAGAAAACCCACGACTTTCGACAGAGCGTTGACAGACTCTTTTCACATGACTCCGTAGCGAGAATCGAACTCACTGCGACCTCGGAGGTGAAACGCGCTTGCATATGCTCTGACGAATGCAACACCGATTCGAAGCCCAGGAAGAGTAAAACTCGAGGACTTTCCAAGGATGTTCAAGAGCATGCATCAGGAAATTTAAAGACTATATGGCCGAGAAGAAGATGTTAGAATCAGTGAAATGAATTTCAAATGCATCTTTTAGGTCATACATCTTAAGGGTTCTAGGTCATCTCAAAAGCCTTAACAATCGTTGGTCGGTAATTTGCACAGAGTGTAGAATGTCGTTTTATTGAAACGAGCATAACACATAATGAGGACAATGAGCATAAATCTGCAATTGACATTTGGCCCGGCCCAACTCTGAATGAAAGCCAATGTTGAAAGCAGCCCAGATGCATCACTGGTGCATGAGGGGAACACGCTAGCCAATCACAAAAGGCCAATCAACTAACCCACCCTTCCCCGGAAAAAGACTCAGCATTTTTAATAACTTTCACCTTGTGTTAACACGGGACTGTGCTAGCTTGACTCGGTGGCCGGCTTTTATTTACAAAATCACAAATGCAAACAAACTTTAACATAGATATGGCATTATTATATGCATGCACTGCATGCTTCGCCTAAAACACTTTTAATATCTTGTATGTGATTGTTCAATAAAACTGGTTCATTGTTTATACTCGAAGAATTACTGCAGGATTAAACTACTAGTTGAAAAACATAACAAGAACGTCAAACAAGAATAAAAAGTTCTTATTACAGTTTTCAGTAATTAATTTCAATTGATACAGGGGCTGGGGTACACTAGAATTCTACCCTCACTGATAATGTATCTATTCAATATTTAGCCTGCGAAACAGGTCTTATATGAACTTCATATTCTGTGTTTATTAGTCTGTGTTTGTCTAATACTCGACGACAAAACATTCACCGATGTTTGGCGAGGTTGGCGCCACTCATTTCCCTTTGTACTCTTGAAGGATGTGATCAAGTGCAATGTTTCTCTATAATGAGATTGTAAGACTGTGACAGTGGACTGTGATCACATGACGTAATTCTTCAACCCCCTTTGCGAAAATCTTCAATATTTTGCTTCTCACCCTGCACGATCTAACAATCATCTGTTACACCGTTCTTGAGAAAGAAAACAATAAAAATAGGATCGCACTGCGTAGAGGCAGCTACAGTACGATATTGGATGGAGGTAGCCTCCTCCACAGGCATCTTGCGATTCACCTGCGTTCTATGGAGACTAGGATGCAGGCAATATTTTATTCACCGGTATTGCTTTATAATGTTGAATTCGTACCATTATGTACAAGTATTTCAGAGCTCATTATATTGTAATTTGTGGATAGGTAATAAGATCTGTACAGATGGGAGATAAGTGTACTAGTATGATGTAACTTCAACGTGTGCATTATTATGTTAATGTCTCTTTATTCTCTTAGATTGTCAGTTTTCACAGGTCATGGAAGATAGAGCATATATACCGCCAAATATTATGTCTAGTAAGCATGTATATAGTGTGTGTGTGTTGCGTGGATCATTTGTACATAGATCCACATAGTAAGGTTGTGTGTGGTTCGTAAGAATGATCTTTAAAATTCTCTTGTAAAATTCTCGCTTGCCAACTCTCATCAACTCTTTTGACCATGGCTTATAAGTGAAAATATTTACGCGAGGTACTGTATATTCATATATCAATGAAATTGACTAAATTGACACATAGTCTTCTGATGTATTGTTACTTTACCAAGATAATTATATACACTCATATGTAATCATATTGATAATATATAGTACAAGACTGTTTGTAAAACATATTGTTCCTTGATACCAAAAAGATATATATATATATATATATATATATATATATATATATATATATATATATATATATATATATATATATATATATATATATATATATATATATATATATATACTTGACAAATTATTCCAAATTGAAAAATACGCCAATAGTCTATTAACTTCATGACACGATTGTCAGGCTAACTAGACGTGAGGCAATCGTAATATAGTATTTATAAATTTCAACTAAATTTTTAAGACAGAGAATAATGAATCCCCAGCGAGGTCACGCAGCCCAGTTCATACAGTATATTCATAAAATAGTCTGATCCAAGGTTTTTTTAGCCCTTTTCAGAACTTAATTAAATATTTTTCAGTATATTTAACAATTATTCGCCGAAGGCGAGGTGATTATCGGGGAATGTTCACAGAGACGAAGTCGAGGTTAATATTCCCCGATATAATCACCGACCCTGAGGCGAATAATTGTTTTAGTATTTTTACACAAGTCTTTTGTGTTGTTTGGTACTGAATTTACTTTAATTTCGTTTATTTCTTTATCAGTAAACTTCCACAAAACGGCTAGCAGCCATTTTGAAAATATCAGTTTTGTTATATTGACCTGTAGGTGAATAAAACAGCTTAATACGTCAAATTTGACCAATTAGGTTGGAGGATTGGTTATGTTCTCTTGTGCAAAAATACTAATAAATATTATTCTGTATATTAAATATAATTAAATATTGTTCTACGTTAAATATCATAGTTAAGTCCAGTTCTAAATCAATCAAACCTATATAGTATAAATCATCTATGTATAGGTATATGTGTTCAGATATGGCGTAGAGCTATTATACACTTGGTCGACAACTTCAAATGTATTGAAACGTTTTAGCAAGCGCATGTGATGAATGTTTCTATACTACTGTACATATATTTGTCAGCAAAGGTAAGACATATAATGAATAATAATACATATGATTTAGTCATTGTGTTAACTAGGGCGCTTGTACACTGGAGCTAACTATATAAGCGCCATTCAAGTAACTGTCTTCCGTTTAGACATGGCAACTATGGACTGGACTGTCCACCGTGTAACCAACATTGACTATATATTTACAGAAAGTTCAAAATGTGTTTTCTTCCACAATTCCATCAAGACTATCTAAAGAACTATTTTCTTTCATATCATCTAAAATAGCATGAGCCAAGATCTTGGAAACAGACACATCCGGGAGTCTTGC